TAGCGGCAGCCGGCAAATAACATCGGGGAAGCTCTTCTTCCCCCTCCAACTTCGTCATGGTCCGCACCACGGCATTGTAGTTTAGATTAGGTTAACGTTCGCTGAATTCAATACCAACCTTGTAGTTTCTTTCTCAAGATCTGTCCTCTATTTCTGCTTGTAGTCAAAACACGTTCAACGACAAAAGAACATTGCGGACTTACTACAGCCACCCCACACTAGCAAGACAGAATGGCGTCCAAGTCAACTCCAGGCATTTTGTACGTGACTATGCAGCCCAAAGAGGGTCTGCCAGAAGCACAATTTCACGACTGGTAAGTTGACTCTTTAGACAGTCGAATTCTGGCTTCGTCAAGATCCCATCTAACCTTTATCCCCCCAAGGTACCAAAACGAACACGGTCCCAACCGACTTCGCCTGCCGTTCTGCAACAATGGCTTCCGCTACCGCGCAACCGATCTCGAGGATGCGCCCGGCTCAAAAGACAAGCCTGAGTGGATGGCTGTTTACGACTTTGACGAGCTCGAATGGTTGACGAGAGAACCGTATCTGAAACTTCGTAGTGCGCCGGCGCAGTCGCAACGGGAGAGGGATACTATGAAGCAGATTTTCGTGGACAGAAGATCCTATGACCTGCTCAAGGAGTGGAAGGGAAACGACTTCAAGGACCTGCAGAAAGTGGAGAATGAGGGCGAGAAGAACGTCATGATTGCTGTGAGCTTCGCGCTGCAGGATGGTGCAGGTAAAGAGGAGGAGCTGAGGAAGTGGTACGAGGAAGAGCATGTACCGCTTCTGCAAAAGGTTCCCGGGTGGAGACGAACAAGGAGATTTGTCACTTCATATCTGGACCTTGAAAGCGGACACAAGACGGAGAAGGAATATCTCGCGCTGCACGAGTATGGCCTGCAGAACGGACTTGGAGGACCAGAGTTCAAGGCGGCTATCACAACAGAGTGGTGCGACAAGATATACAAGGACGTGGTCAAGGACCGCAAGAGGAGGGCATATGAGCTATACTACACGTTTGGCGCTGCACAGCGTGATCTGCAGAGTCTCGCAAGCAAAGACACATTTGCCGTAGAGACAACAGAGGGCAAGGTAAAGACGCACCCAGCACATACCACGCCAGAGCAACGACCAGTGATAGAAAGCTTCGTCACAACAAAAGACGGCGTCGAACTCCCCTACCGACTCGAAGGCTCCAGCGACCCCAACGCACCACTCCTCGTCCTCGCAAACAGTATCCTAGTCGACTACGGCATCTGGGACGACTTCGTCACCGAGTTCCTCAACCTTACAAACAACAAGTACCGCATCCTGCGCTACAACACCCGCGGCCGCAACACCCTACCGCCTGACTCGACATCCCCAATTACCGTGCACACCCTCGCCGAAGACGTGATAACGCTCCTCGACGCCCTCCGCGCCAAAACAGCCTCCATCATCGGCGTCTCGCTCGGCGGCGCCACAGCCCTCAACGCAGGGCTCTCCTACCCGCACCGCATCTCCGCCTTTATCGGCTGCGACACCAACGCCTTCGCGCCCGCCACCAACGCCAAAGCATGGAACGAGCGCGTCGAGCTCGCGGAAAAGGAAGGCCTGAAAACAGCATCTGGTAACCCCATTGTAGGCGAGGACCTCGCAGAGATCACGGTCCGCAGGTGGTTCGTCAAGGAATCCTACGACGACGCCGAATTGGCCAAGAAGATCCAGCGCGTCAAGGATATGGTCAAGACGAATTCGCTACCGGGCTTCCGCGACTCGGTCAGGGCGCTGCATGAGTATGATATCAGGGAGAAGATGGCGGGGTATCAGGGTAAAGGCGCGTTTTTGGTCGGTGCAGGCGATGGTGTACTGCCGAAGACTATGAAGGAGAATATGGCGGAGAAGCTGGGGAAGGGGGTTGAGCTCAAGGTTGTAGATGGGGCTGGACACTTGCCCATGGTGGAGAGACCACGCGAGGTTGCGCAGTTTGTGGCTAAGTTTCTGGAGGGTTAAGGAGATGCGGATATGTGTGTGTCAGGGGGGGGGGTCTGAAAATACGATTTGCCTCGAAGCAGTTCGAGTATATTGTAGACGAGAGTGTTGTATTCTGGTATTTCTTGAGTCTTGATTTTTGAGAAAAGCCGCCTAGTACACACCTGATTTTCCCGCTCACGAACTATCATGCAGTCATCAATTTCATAAGTGCCTTATTTTCTCACCAATAGCATTACTTGAGCGACGAATCTTTTCTTTCAAACCCCCCCCCCCCTACTATTCAAACCCTGTTCTACACACCCCTCACCTATCCTCTCTACCATCCGTCCAGCTAGTACAATTCACGCACCGCTTAGCCTTCTCACTAATATATTTCCTACAAAACTTGCACTTGACCTGCCTCTTGACAATATTGTCGCCGCTGCCCCTGCTATAAGCCAGCGCAATGACCCAAAGCGCCAGCGCAACAATAATAAACCTTACAATCTTGTCGAGAAAATTGCCGTAGGCAAGTACCACAGCACCGTCATCAACGGCCTGCTTCGGCGTATTGTAGCCGTTTGAGATGGAGGTATTATAGTTTGGGCCGTGCTGCAGGACGGCAAACTTGGCATCGAGGTTACGCGAGAGAAAGGGTAGGAGTGAGATTATAGGCAGGATGATGTCGGACACAAGAGCATTTGCGCAGGCGGTGAAGGAGGCTGCGAGACTGCGAGGGGGGTGGGTGGCCAGAGTTAGTATACCGGTTACACTACACTACACACACTCTGGGGGGGGGAGGCGCAAGCAATCGGGCCATTGAGAAGGAAGGAATTTTTTTTGATCCTTGCAAGACAAAAAAAGGGTATCACTGTACATTAAGCCGACGGCTACCTCGAGCACGTTATCGCGAAGCGCAAAGTTGCTGAAGCTATCCCAGGCGTTGAATGTGTGGCGCTTGATGCCTTGCTCTGCATCGCGCAGGGTTTGTTGTGTGTTGTCGTCTAGGCGTGGCATGATGGCGTTAGGAATAAATGGTGGTGGTGACGTTTGGGAGGGAGGTTGGTGCATGGGTATACTACGAAGAAAGGGAGAGAAAGCTGGGGTTACTTTGGGTAGCGACGTCATGAGAACCAGGAAAAGGCTCCGACCAATCACGATATCATCCGCTCTGCTGGGACACGACACCCCATACCACTGACAACGCACACGCATCCTTACATGCGCACCCACGCTGATTCCACCTAGCACCATTTTTGCAAATCCAAAAAGCAAAGGCAATTGCGTGTTTGATCTTCGTTTCGTCATGTAAATTGTTAGTTACACGTACTTATGAATAGCAAGTCCCCTTTTAACCCGCACTAGCTGAATCATTGCAGCTTTGCCTAATGCATCTAGAAGACCACTTTTTTTTCCACACGGGTGTCGATCTCTCTCCTCGGGCGTGGGCCTTGTTAGCGATACGCCCGAGGGGTAAAGTGCCCTAAACTTTTTTTTTACCCTACGTTTCGCCATGGTGATAGGGTAGGCGGTTGCAGCGCTACGCATGTCATCGCGACCATCTGCGCGCAATCGCATCCTTTGTTCGTAGACCAGTACACACCCTCATCCACACATAGATTCTATCATCTTCTTTCGCTGCGCACCTGAGCCACGTACCGGGCGTGCATGCTAGTCTGTGCTGCTGCATGCAGCCACTTCTGAACATGCAATTGAATGTAGTCGTAGTCCACCCCCACAATTCGGCCCTTTTTTCCAACAACCCTCATTCGTCCAAAAAAAATCACACAGGACGCGCACTGCTGTGTGAGGCGTACTGGTACGTACATGCGGCGTAGTACATACATGAATTCCGCCATCGGCGTAGACTACCCCGCCATTACGCCAGCCTCGTCTCTGTTCAGAGAGAATAGTTAGCCTAGCCGACGCCGGCCCGCTCATCATGGCCGTGTGATCACGCATTGCCCTTCCTGGACGGACTAAGATCGCCCGTCTCAGAAGAAGAAGGATGAGAAGGGGGGAGGGGGGGGTTAGAGATAGTAGTACTGAGAAAGAAAACGCAGGGTCTCTGATGCATGGACATGACAAGTGGTCAGCTCAAAGTCAGGTCAACAGACACACACAGTCAGGGTAGATCTCATATCTGCTCGCCTAGCGCTGGGCGCGATACTCCATCTCCGAATTTTCCGCGTGGACCGTCGATGATTGGGTCGTCGTGGATAGCATTATGCCGGCAGCTATCATTGCGCAGCGGCAGAATGGAGTCGTAAGTAGGTGCGCGGCCGGCGGGCAGGTCGGAGCATCTGTGGAGCATCACGATTGCGATGGGTGGTGCTTTGTGGGTGTGCACGGTGCTGGGTGCCGCTGATCTGGCAAGACAGTGGAGGTTTGGGATAAGGGCGGTAAGCGCGCGACGAAGGGGAATTTTGGGGTGGATGGAGGGGTAAAAGGGTATCGGAGGCTGCGCCGTGAGGTCACGGCACCTTGCACTTGCTTAGCGTGCAGCACTAGTGGGGGTTGGTGTGGTGGGGGGATCCTTGATCACAAATGTGTAACCATCAGGAGATTGATTTTCCACCCCCAAGTAGTGTCAGACGTCCACTGGGTGACGTGCCCCCGTGCTGTGCACCGAAATTGCACGAATATGCTCGAATGAGGGGAAGCCTGTCCACTGCAAACACAGAGTATGCTCGAGATAGTACCATGTTGATTTTTTTGCCTCTCTCTCTATCTGCTCATTAGACCCGATGCTGCTTCTGTTGCGCAATCTGGAAAAGAATAGGTGTAAATGCTGACAAGTAAACGCCTCCCAATGCAACTTCCCCTGACAAAACAGTCCCGTGGTATACCAAAAACGCCTTCTTATGCTGTGCGCGTGTGCGCTGAGAAACAAAAAAGCCACCAACACCGTGCAATGCTAGATAATCAAAAACAAAATACCCCCCTGCTGCTCCATAATGCTGATGCTGTAAATTTCATGTATGCAAACTGCCTCTTCTTGCTCAGTCTTGATGCAGGTAGCTGCCATGCCTTCCCATGGTTTACCTCGACACGTCTGTCACTGAGTCTGCCCTTGCTCTTGACTTTGACCTTGTCGATGACCTCCGGCGTTCGGCACCATCCTTTGCTTTTCTGGTTTTTGGTCGACGGAGCACAGGGCCCTCGTCCTCTTCTGACTCGTCTACAGTGAAGAGATCCGGGCTGGGTTCTCGCCAAGAATGGCGATGGCCGGATAGTGTACGTGAGTAGCGGCGACGATTCTGTTGCTTGCGGGCAGCAAGGTCCTGGGCACGTCCTCGACTTGGTTCAGCAATGCTGATCTTTGATGGGCTAAGCTGAGACACCACGTGGGGTGTGTCGTTTAAGCGTTCGTCATCAAGCCCCATGAAGGACTCTTCGTCCTCCTCGTAGATGGTTGGCACGTGATAGACGTTGTGGAGTGGGGCGTGGTTCTGCTTGACATAGCGAGCCCACCTGCCGGCGACGTTGGACCTGAACTTGGTCGTCTTTGCGGTGCGTGGTCCCTCGTCGGCGTCGATGCCGGCGCTCAGAGACAGCTCGTAGGGATCCTCGGCGTCGGTGATGGGGGTGATGAAGTGGGCAAAGGGGTCCTCGTCGATGTCGGGCAGATGGCTGGAGTCGTCGTCGGACGTCTCGACCCATGGAGGGAAGGAGTAGGCGCGAGGGTTGGAGCGGAGATAGGAAGGCATGGCTGATAGGGTGTCCTTGATGGATCGGAATAGGCAAGCGAAGCGGAGTGGTAGTGGGGGCTTTGAACTTTTTTCAACCTTGACTAAGGCGACGTGACAGAGAATCTTGTCCTCCCGGCTCCGTGCCGGTGGTGGTCAAAGGAACAGCGTGAAAGCACTCGTTGCAGAGGGCTCGCAGCTGGGGGCGCAGGCAGGTGTTTTTGTAGTCGGAGCAGCTGGAAGGGGCACACGCAAGGGGTGTATGCGTGACTTTGGGCGCACGTCTCGGAAGAGTCACAGTAAGGCGGAGTCGCAGTGCAGCCTTGGGGGGGGGACAATGGGGATAGAGATTGGTGCCTGGGGGGATTGGGGAAGGGGGAAGGACACAAAGGCAGAGAAGTGATGATGATATTAGTATGGGCCCGTGGTGTTTCCTCCGCAAGAGTGCCGGATGGGTGAATGGCGTGCTGTCGAGGATAGGCCGAGTACTTATGTTTGACAGGCCGCGATGTGGTGCCGCAAGAGGAGCCCTGCAGGTGCAGTGCATATGGCTGCGGGCTGCATTAGCGTGGGAGAGGGAGAGAAGCTTGGTGCAGCGTGGACAAAAAGGGCAAGGATTCCAAGGCCATGGGGAATGGGTGACAGGCAGAGTGATGGCTGACGGGCCACATGAGATGGTTGGTGGCACACCATCGCGGTGAGGGATGACCTGCAGCCTGCACGCGTGCATTGGCCACTGGATGTTGCGGACGACACGGCCGTTAATGCAGGATTGTCGATCGCGATGCCGACGGCGACCCGCCAGAGGCCGAGCTAGGACTTGAGACTGCCCAGCGCGATCGTAGGTACTGTAACTGTCTACTTACTCGTCGCAGCGGGCGGGAAAAGACGAATGCGAAGAATCGTCTACAACATACGGTACGGAACATGGTGGTGCTTTTGCTCCACCAGCGGGGCACACGCACAATGCCATCACCACCACCATTATTCCATTCTCACTCAGCCTCACTCGACCTTGCCTGCTTCGGCTCTGCCACACGTCCTCTCGCACACCCTCTCTGCCCTCGCCGACTGGTTTTACTTTCCACTACGCGTCCCCCCTCCCCTCCCTCACGAGCATGACGAGGCTGGCTGCGTGAACCTTCGTTCGGTGCCTGCAGCCGACACCACCACCATCACGCCGCCAGTCACGGCGCGGTTTGGCAATACCTGCTCCCCCCCATTGTGCGCCTGGTTTCAGCCAAGTGCCTCCTCCAGCTGATGCGGCTCCAATACACCATGTCCTGCACTTGACCTCTTCTTGCCATGACATTCGCCACACGCTTCGGACACCAAAGTAGTCGTTTGCTAATACACGGCCATATGATAATGACACGCTGGGATATCGCGGCTCTCCAGCCCTGGCTCCACTCCCAATCCGCCAATCTCGATATTCGCTTCGCTGCTATATTCCTGCATTTTCTAACCCGCCCGGCCTCGTGCCGGCCTTACTTTTCTTAGGTCCCCTCAGACCTGATACCCATCTGCCCGCATGCAGCGCCATGGGGCCGCCGTGCACCTCACAAGTGCGCAACACTGCTCAAAACTACGTCATTGCCAAAACTGCAACTTTTGCACCATCCGACCATCGCCGTGTTGCCATGGAACTTTTTTTTTCATACAGAACCGTGCATCGTCGTTAAGCGCGCCAGGCTGACCTGTGGCTCAATACTTGACTCAGCAGTCCATCTCACCCATTCCTGCGTCACCTGGACCCTGCTACCGCCTGACGGCACGCCATGGCCTATTCCAGCAACTGTGAACTTCAAGCTTTCCCACTCGCTTAGATGAACAAAGGCGGCCTGAACATCTCACCGTCAGCTCTGGCGAGCACCTCCGCCCGCACCTCAGCGGCCTGTCCGGCTCTGGCGGCGCTGCAAAGTGGACGAATCCCAGCCGTGAGCGCCTCGGTAGACAGAATCGCCAGGGCACACTATCCTCTTTCTAACCAAATGGCACGCGCAACAATCACAGCTACGCTTGCATTTGGGATAGTTCAGCTCTTACTTTGATTGCTGCGACGAGATTGGATCCATGTAAAAATAAAAGCAAACACTTTGCAGACGACATGGGAAGCCGGCAACGCCGATCGGGAAATAGCCATCTTTGTCGCCCCCTAAACTAGCATCCTCTTGGTTTACACTACGTACACACACATCTCTGCTATACTCTAACCACCCCCAGACTTGAACCTTGATGTCGCCATCACTATCGCATGGCTCACTACTTTTCAAGAGTCGGGTGTTACTGCTTCGGGTAGACTATACCTTTACAAAGCGTGACACTTTGCTTTTGCGCGCTAGTGCTCTAGTCTACCCAAATCGACCGATGGACTTTTTTTTACACAGACAAAACGTCTAGTACCTACCGCCAGGCACAATGCAGCAGTAGTTCCCGAAATTGCGAAAACTAATCGCCCTCCTGTCCTTCAACGTCGTTGAGCAGAGCGTATTTCGGGATAACTTTCACCGCCCTACACCGCCCTTTGGGCGTTAATTCACAGGATCGACGCCCCCGCGTTCGGGAGCTAGTCGTCGCTAGCCTACAATGAAGAGCAGGGTCTCCCAAACCTCAGCATTGCCGCTCCGCGACAACAACACCATGGCAGTGGGGCTACATGTTTGTAATACCCATTTTCAAGTTCCTTGGAATAACTCAGGCTAGTCTCCGCTTTCCTGGCGTATGATTCGGCTCTTCTATGTCATCTTGCCCTGCGTTTCGTCGGAACACGAATCGCCATTGGTCGCATGTTTCATACGAGGCGCTCACCGCCGTAGTGGAATCATCGCCAAAATGTCGGCAGTCGATACCAGATTCAACTCACATGCCGATACACCCAGCCAATCTCTTACCTCTCCTGCATCTCCTGCATCTCCTGGCACATTTTCCCAACGACTATGCAGGAGGCAGCTCTGTGGGGTAGGATGTGCGTTGCATTCTCCCAAGTCCCTGCCCGTCGGCATTGTAGCATCTGCACAAAGACAAAAGTAGTCGCAAGGCGAACTTTGCATGACCTCCCCACATTTGTCCGCGGATGCGCGCGCGTACTGTGTAGAGTACTAACTTACTGCCCAACACTTTGACCAACGCCCTCTCAGGGCCTGATGAGGCTCTCACCGACTACGTCACTATGCCCGTTGCTTGAATCCTGCGCTACGGTTGGCGCAAGCAAGCGCACGCTCAGGCACCCCATCGTCAACCTATCTTGACCCCTCCTAGTGGTTGGTTTTTTTTCTCAGTGAACAACAGAGGCTATCACGCGGCTGGCAAAAGAACAAGTCCCCGAACACCGCGATCATCAGGTTCAACAAAAAGATCCAGGGAACGAATAACTTAATACCATCGCTGCGATCGAGAGAGACCTCCTACTTGCGCGTATAGTGTCGCAGAAATTTCTTCTTCTTTTGAAGAAATTCAGCCAACGAGCGACAAGAGCGACAGGAGCATCAAGAGCGAAACCGGCCAAATCGAAGATCCTGTCGCATACAAAAAAAAGAAAACAGTGCGTATGTTCGATTAAACCCCGCATGGCGCAATGATATGTATGCATGAAAAAAGAATTAGCGAGGCGAACGACTGAAAAAGTGGTGGGGAGCCGTGTTGGTTGAGCGAACATCACCACCTACTTTGATCCTGGTGCATACAAGACCATAGTCCTAGTCTGTCTCTCAACAAAAATTTGTAGTGTAGTGTATACGAAAGCAGCAGCTGAGAGAGAAAAAGAGAGTACGCGCGTACGCGCCACATCTGATGAACATCACGTCTCAGAATATCATTCTTTTTTTTTCTTTCCAAACATCAAAACACTTGGGTACATACGACTCATACGACTATGCAAAGTAACGAGATGATAATAGCTCCATGCCAGCCAGCCATTGCCACCAATGTCGTGTGTCCACACTACATCCACACCTACACAACCCTCTCACTCCCTCACTTCCCTCCTTCCCTCCACTTTAGAACAAGGATAGTTAAAAATAAAAATAAAAATAAAACGCCGGGAACCATGGTGGTGGGGGGGTATTAAATCATGAGCAAGGCAACAACAAGGACTACTACTATGAAGGAATGCCAATTTCATAGCCCAGCATGACCTCTGTCGACGCACCCTCCCAGCCCCTGTTTCCGCCTGTAGAAATCATAAAATTGCACACAGGGTCGAGATAGAGCTGGGAAATGAGGCCTGTGCGATGGCCGGGCACGATGAAGAAGGGAGTCGCAGCTGCACCAGTCTTGGTACCAGAGTCTTCGTGCGTGAGATCATAGAGACGGAGAATGTCGTATGAGGCGCTAGTGTGAGCAGTTCTGTTAGCACACATGACTTTTTTTGAGAAGGGGGGGGGGGGCAGAAAGAGGTGTACATGTGACACACGATACGGAGGGAGG